ATCCTCTGAAAGTATGTTACCGGCCCATTGGCCATCTCTCTGTCCTGAAATGTGTTCTTTCTGTTCCTAGGTTCTTTGGTGCTTTTATTACATAAATAAATGAATGTAATTTAAAAATTTTGAATAGACTCAAAAGAAATAATGTACTTCATGAGCACAATTTTATCTACTGAAGTCAGAAACTTCACTGTAGAGATGAAAAGGCCAAACATACTCTGCAAAAGCAAAACCAAATCCCCCACACTCTAACAATCAGACCCTAACTGCTTGTAGCCTGATTCAGTGACTTGTGATGCTTTATGCAAACAAGTAAAGCCTAACTCCTAATGACCCCTGGCACCTCACCCCATGTGGCCATCCTCAGGCAGGACAAATGATGTTCTAAATTTATGAATTAAGAAGATAGCTGTCCATATTGTGGGGAGGGGGTGGTTATGTAGTGTTAGGGTCCGAGAGTCAGGAATAATTCCCACAGACATGAAGGAAAAATGCATAAAAATTTTATTCAGAAATTTAAAATATCAAGTAACCAAATTAGTGGCTAGCCGGGCACAGACTCCATAAGCCAAAGATGGAGTCTGGCCCCGAGCAACAGCAGGCAGGGGCTTTTATTGAAGAACTTCACATAAACCTACGTGTGCCAAGCATATTTTAAAATAATTGGATGGCCCCATATCCTGAGTACGGTGGAAGTTTTGATTGGTAGGGGCTGTCTTCAGGGCATTGGAATGTGCTGACTAATATCTTTTAAAGTCAGAAGTTTTTGTTCATATCTTATAAGGCTTTTACATGTACAATATGCCTGAGCTTGTCTGGGCTTGTCTAAAGAAGCTAGCCAAAATGGAGTCAGAGCATTCTGGCTCTTCAGTAGCAATTTCCTTTGAGGTAAAGACATCCTATCTTAGAGGGAAACTTGTTAATATACAAGATGTTAAGAGGGAGGTAAACAACAGGATATTCTAAAGGGAGGTAATCAACAGGATACTCTAAAGAGGTAATCAATAGGATGTTCTAAAGGGAGGTAATCAATAGAATATTCTAAATAGAGGCAAACAATAGAATGTTCTAAAGCGAGGTAAACAATAGGATGTTCTAAAGAGAAATAAGCAACAGGATGTTCTAAAGGAAGGTAATCTGTAAGATGCTAAAGAGAAGTAAACAATAGGATGTCCTAAAGGGAGGTAAACAGCAGGATGTTTTAAGGGGAGGTGCAACATTCTATCTTGCTGGGAAGCTCATTAAGCTAAGGAAATAAATAACTCAATAGCTTCAGAAAGTACCCGAAATTGACCAGGTTCATGGGAGTGCCCCCCAACAAGTATATATAAGCCTTAAGGACTACCGACACTCTCTGACCAGCCTAACTTCTTGGAAGTAGCAGAGACTAGCTGAGCTGCCTAGAGGCTCACACCAGACCAGCCACCTGGAAAAGACACTCTCCAACCTGCTCAGCTGCCTGTAGGTATGGGGAGACTGCGCTCTCTCTGGGCGCAGAGTGCGCTCACTACCTGTGGATCTGCAGACTGCTCTGGGAAGCGGTGGCTCCAGGAGCGGCCAGCGGATCCGCAGACTTCTCTGGGAAGCTGCAGCCGGGAGCAGCGGGTGCCCTGGAGGTTTTCCCGGTGGCTCGGCCCCTTGTCTCTGGAGCTTCCTCTGCTACTGGAGCATTGTCCAGCTGGAATCCCATCTCTGTTCCACCCGTGTACTCTTCCTCAGGATGCGAGGCTCCTGGCCGCTGAGCCACGCAGGGAAGGAGTACAGAGACGGCGAAAGCTGGTGTGTCCGTGGGTCGGTAACGGAGAGTGCTGTCCTCCAGGGGAATCAGGTCGCCGGTACACAAGACTCAAGGCTCGGCTCAGTCGGTGCTTACAGCTTTATTCTCTCTGGGACCCAATCTCCCACTGTTAAGAGAAGGCTAGGATATTTTATACCATGGGGGTAATGGTAAAAGCTTTGGCTGTTAGATGCTTTGTGAGGCATTCTATTTACATGTGGAAGTGGATTTCTGCCACACTGCTAGACTGCTGGCCGCCTGGAAAAATCACACAGGAAGGCATGGTATGCCTAGAGCCAAAGGCCATGTTTATGTTATAGCATTCGTGGAGGACACTTCAAAAGGAGAGACAGGAAAGATGCCAGGAAGACACCCGCTATGAAAGGAGCCCACAGCACATAACCTGAGCTACATGAGCTGTCCGGTGTGAAGGGGCTTCGACTTTGCATAACAGAGATCTCCCAACAGTAGGTTGTGCAATGTGCTCCAGATTTCCTACTTTCATGACCTGTCACTCATGCTGGAGTGGACTTTTGGTAATGCAGCTGTTTTTGAGTCATGACTGTCCCTCCAAGTAACCTTCACATATATTCCTGTAAGTAACCCCAATAAGACTCATTGGTTCACCAGTTGGATTTTGGTAATATCTTTACTTTGGTCTGTTGTTGGTTCCCTATCTAGGTTGAGTAGCCTTTTTTTTTTTTTTTTTCATATCTCCCCAGAAATAGTGTCACACAACAACCTTAAACAGAGATCTGTGCTAAACCTAGGAATGTTGGGTTTAATCAAAATCCCTTTCTTCATTTATTGTGACAATCATATGATTTCTATCCTTGAGTCTATTTAAGTAATACATTTATTGATTTGCATGTTGCCTGCATCTCTGGAATGAAGCCAACTTGATCATGATTAATGATCATTGATACATTATTCAATTTTTTGAAAGTGTTTAATGAGTATTTTTATGCCTGTGTTTATCAGGGAGATTGTACTATGCTTTTCTTTGTTGTGTCTTTACCTAGTTTTGGTGTTCAGGTTAATACTGGCTTTGTAAAAAGAATTTGGAAGTGTTCCTTCCCCTTCTGTTTTATAGAAAAGTTTGAGAAGCATTGGTGTTAGTTCTACTTTAAAGGTCTGGTAGAATTCAGCAGTGAATCCATCAGTACCTGAAGGTTTTTAGTTGGAAGGTTTCTTTGTTTTTGTTTTGTTTTTTGTTCCTTTTGAGACAGGGTCTCCCTGTAGCCCCAGCTTGTCTGGAACTCAATATGTAGACCAGGCTGACTTTAACTCACAGAGATCGTCCTGCCTCTGCCTCCTGAGTTCTGGGATTAAAGGTATGAGCCACCATGCCCGGCCTTTTCATTTTGTTTTAAACTACTACTTCAATCTTACTGCTTGTTATAGATATGTTTAAGTAGTTGGTTTAATTTTTATAGATTATATGTCTCTAGAAATTTATGATTTGTTTTAGGTTTTCCAGTTTAGTAGAGCACAAGATTTTTAAATATGCCCTAATGATTTTTAAATTTTATTTTATTATTTTTATTTTATGTGTATGAGTGTATTTCCTGCATGTATAAGTGCACCTGTATCATGCAATGCCCATAGAGATCAGAAGGTGTCAGATCCCCTGGAACTGGATTTATGGACTGTTATTAGCCACCATGGGGATGCTGGTATTCTAACCTAGGTCCTCTGCAAGAGCAGTCCGTGCTTTTAACTGCTGAGCCATCTCTCCAGCTCATATTTTTTAAAAGAATATTTATTCATTTTTGTGTATATGTGGGTGTACATGTTCATATGTAAGGGAACATGTGCAACAAAGCACGCATGTAGATGTCAGAGGACAACCTCAGGTGGTACTGCCCTTCCACCTTGTTTGAGGCAGGGTCTCTTCTGCTCTTTGCCTACACTGTCCTCCCTGGTAGCTGGCCTGAGAGCTCTGGGGGAAGTTCCTCTGTCTCTGTTCCCAACTTGCTATAAGAGTGCTGGGGTTACAGGCATGAACTCATGTGTCTGGCTTTTTACATGCCTTCCCGGGATCCAAACTCAGGTCTGCTTCACAAGTACTTTTATCCACTGAGCTCTCTCCCTGGTCTGTCAATGGTTTTCTGAATTTCATTGATAGCTATTGTAATATCTCCGTTTTCATCTCTAATTTTATTAATCTTGTCTTTCTTTTAGTTATTTGGCTAAGAGTTTGTCAATCTTGTTTATCTTTTCAAAGAATCAACTCATTGTTTCATTGATTCTTTGGTTTTTATTTTTTCAGTTTGAGTCTTTGAGACAAAAGTCTCACTATGTAGCCTCTGCTGATCTGTAACTTGCTATGTAGGACAGGATATTCTAAAGAGGTCTCAAACAGAGATCTGTCTGCCTCTACCTTCTGAGTGCTGGGATCAAAACATGCGGCAATTATTTGTATTTGTTGTTGTTATTAGTTCCATTTCCTTATTTTCTCTCCTGATATTATTTTTTTCTATTACTGGTGTTTGGTGTGTAGTTTCCTTATTTTTTCAGTGCCTTAAAGTCATGATTAAGTACTTGAGATGATTTTTTTTGTCTTTTTGAGACAGGGTCTCTCTGTAACCCCAGCTATCCTGGAACTCACTATGTAGACAAGGCTGGCCTTGAACTCACAAAGATCTGCCTGCCTCTGCCTCCCAAGTGCTGAGATTAAAGGTGTGCACCACCACGCCCAGCTTGAAATGATATTTTTTAAAGATAGATTTTCATTTATTTTGTGTGTGTGTGTGAGTGTGTGTGTGTGTGTACGCATGCCACTACAATATGTGTGGAGGTCAAAGGACAACCTCTTCTGTGGGAGACAAGCTTGAGCCTAGGATGATATTGCAACTGTCAGGGTCACATGGTTTCCAGGAATCCAGGCTCTGTAATCTGAAACCCAGTATGCTAATGAGGCATCCTACCCTCTATTCTGTGATAGGACGTTAAGTCTGTTATGCTAATAGGATGCTAAGTCTGTTATGCTAATAAGGTATCCTACTTGCTGTACTGTGATAGGATGCTAAACCTGTTATGCTTATAAGGTATCCTACTTGCTGTGTTGTGATTGGACCACTATCCCTATATAAGCTTGTGCCTCCCTGCAATAAACCAGACCTGTGTCACTGAACCTGGTCTCCTGTGTCTTAATGCAGCTCCGCTGACACAGTCTCCTCACCAGCCCTGGGGTCTGGGACCAGGCAGAAGCAGCGAAGACAGGAGACAGCACAGGGCAAGCAGAAGAGCTGCCTCAGCACCAGGTGAGTAGAAGAGTGGCCTCAGCCCAGGGCAAGTGGAGGAGCAGCCTCAACGCCTGTGAGAATGAAGGAGTGGCACCCACGAGAACGGAGGAGCAGCCACTGCTGGCAGTGACTGCACTCTTCTACCATGTTAGGTTCTGGAGATTGTCAGGCTTGGCAACAAGTGCCTTTCCCTGCTCAGCCACTTTGTTGACTCCTCTCTTTGGTTTTTTTTAAATATTTCATTTATTATTTTTTATTTTATGTATATGAGTGTTTTGCCTACATGTACACAAAAGCACCCATGTCGAGCAGGGCCTGTGGAGGCCAGAAGAGCTGTGCCAGATCCCCTGGAACTGTAGTTATAGATGGGTTGTTAGTCACCATGTGGGTGCTAGGAGCCAAACTCAGGTCCTCTAGAAGAGCAGTCAGTGCTCTTAACAACTGAGCCATCTCTCTACCCCCTCTTTGATTTTTTTTTAATTTAGGCACTTGAAGGTATGAACTTCCCTCTTAGTATTGCTTAGTACTTCTTACAATAGGTTTTGATATGTTGTGTTAACGAGCCAGAATGTTCTGACTCCATTTTGGCTAGCTTCTTCAGACAAGCCCAGACAAGCTCAGGCATATTGTAAATTTTTCCAGTTGCTACCACCCCCCAAGGAAGCTATAAATTAAGCAAGCCCTGAACATGTAAAAACCTTATAAGGTATGAACAAAAACTTCTGGCCCTAAAATATATCAGTCAGCACATTCCAATGCCCTGAAGACAGCCCCTACTAATCAAGACTTCCCCCGTACACAGGATATGGGGACATCCAATTATTTTAAAAAGATGCTTGGCGTGCGTGTGTTTCTGTGGAGTGCCCCAATAAAAGCCCCTACCTGCTATTGTTCGGGACCAGACCCCAACTTTGGCTCATGTATTCTGTGCCTGGCTAGCCACCATTTGGTGTTGTTTTGTTTTTTGTTTTTTTGTTTTTTACTTTAAATTCTTGAATAAACTTTTTGTATAATCTTTTTGGGTATCTGTGGGAATTATTCTCAATTCTCAAACCCTAGCATTTTGGGGGCTCATCTGGGATTCGAGAATAGAGACCCCAGACCCACAGAAGCACCACCAGAGATGGCCTTGGTAAGTTCTGCCTGCTTTCATCTCTCTCTCTCTCTCTCTCTCTCTCTCTCTCTCTTGCTTTTCAGTAGTCCAGACATCCTGGGGCTCAACGGAGATCAGGTGGATGCACTATTGATCCCAGAGCTGGAGGAGAATGGGGGATGTCCCGACTCCTCCTCTGATAAGGGGTCATGCTCCAGCCTGACGTGGAATCCAGGTAGGACCAACCCAGAGTCTTGTCCCAGCCGGATGTGGAATTTGGGTGGGCCAAATGCAAGATTCTGGCCAAGTATGACATGGAATCCAGGCTTGCCAAATCTTTTTGGGAAAGGGACAGGGGCAGCCTTCTTGGCTGACTCCGCGTGCTGTGAGATTTTCATTTCTCCCTCTAAGGAGCTGCCATCTCACACTGTCCTCACCCTCTGCTCGGAGTGCCACCTTGCCTATAGACTTTCCATCCTGCTTCTCATTCTCATTCCTGTCCTTATATTCTTTTTTTCTTGAAGCTTATCCCACAATGGGCCAGAAAGTCTCATCATCTTCAGCTCCCCTTCATCTAATTTTTAGTCATTTTCAGGACTACAAACGAGCAGCTTCGAACATGTCTGGACTCAGTGTCAAGCCGACCCACCTCCAGACCCCCTGCACCATCAAATGGCCCTCCTTTGAAGTCAAATGGCCGCCTGAAGGATCCTTTAACCTGTTCCTCATCTACAGGGTTCAAGGAGTTATCTTTGGGGAACTGGGGCACCCTGACCAGATCCCCTACATCCTAGGTTAGTGATATCTGGTTGCTGCCCCACCCGGCTGGCTGCATCCCTTACTGCCGCCCCCACCATCAGGGCCTAAGGGGTCAGCCACTTTGCTTCCCCTGAAGAAAGTCCAGACCAAAAACCCATTGGGTCCCAAGGTCCTCCCCTCAGCGTCATAGGAGGATTTACTCCCGCCACCTTATGGGGCCCTAGTGAGTGCTCAAGATAGACCTAGAGAGCACAGGTCTCGAGCATCTTCCTCTTCTTCCAGTCCTTCCCAGTCTCCATCCCTGGCTCCCATGGCTGAGCTGGCCCCTCCCATGGCTGAGCCCATCCCATTGCTGGGGGAGGGGAGGGGAGAATTATTCGAGCTCTTCCCCTGAGGGAGATTGGGCCCCTGAGGGAGGATGGAATTGCCCCAGTAGTCTACTTTCCCTTTTCTACTAGTGACTTGTGTAATTGGAAGTTACAGACTCCCTCCTTCACGGAGAAGCCTCAGGCCCTTGTTTCCCTCCTAGAGACCATTCTTTTTACCCACCAACCCACTTAGGATGATTGCCAACAATTATTGAATATCCTGTTCACCACCGAGGAACAGAACTGCATCCTTCAGGAATGCAGACACGCAGTCCCTGGAAATGATGGGTGACCAACAGAGAATGAGAATTTGATTATGGCTGCTTTTCCTCTCACGCACCCGACAGAGGGGTGGGACTATAACACTCCCAAAGGTAGGGAACGCCTAAAGGTCTATCACCAGATTCTTATGGGGTGTCTCTAGGCAGCTGCTAAGCACCCCACCAATTTGTCTAAGGTCAGTCAGGTGATGCAGAGAAGGGATGAGTCTCCTGGAGCGTAATAACTGGAGTGCCTGTTAGAGGCTTTCAGAACTTATACTCCCATTAATCCAGAGGACCCAGATAATCAGGTGGTCATCAATATGGCTTTCGTAAATGAGGCAGCTCCAGACATAAAACAAAAATGTCAAAAGCTGGACGGTTTCAAGGGCAAAAACCTTTCTGAGCTGATGGCAGTGGCAAACAAGCTATTTAACAATAGAGAAACCCCTGAAGAAAGACAAACTAAAGGGCTGGCTAGGATATTGTTGGCTGAAAGAGCCACAAATCCCAAATGGGGGGGGACTGACCCTCTATGAAAAGGGAACCCGAGCCCCGTGACACCCACAGGAAGGTCAGCCCTGCCTAAAAAGAGACCAGTGTGCATATTGTAAACAGCTGGGCCACTGGGCTAGGGAATGTCCTCAAAGGATGGGGTCCCATCCTCCCTCCAAGCCCAAGATCCTCAAGTTGGCGAACCTAGAAAACTGAAGGGGCCTGGGCTCAGTGAGCCTCCACCACGAGCCCTGTGTGACCCTACAAGTGGAGGGATGAGCTGTCGACTTCTTACTTGACACCGGAGCACAATATTCAGTTTTGAAAGAATCTATGTGAAAATTGACCAGTAAACGCACCTGGGTGCAAGGGGCCACAGGAATCACTCAATGCTCTTGGACTACCAAAAGGGAAGTAAACTTATGTAAGAAGACAGTTTCACACTTCTTTATGGTGGTCCCAGAGTGCCCGTATCCCTTATTGGGTAGGGACTTGCTAAATAAAATGAAGGCTTAAATCCATTTCTCTAGGAGAGGACTTCCTGATGTGATTGTACTGGACGCAGCCTATATCCTGTGTTTACAATTAGAAGAAGAATGGAGAGTGCATGCCTCACCACCTCAAAAAGAGACCAACCACTATCCTCAAGGACCTCCAGGCAGCAATCCCTGGAGTTTGGGCAGAAACTAATCCCCCAGGGAGGGCCATCCAACAGCCACCAATAATGGTGACTTTAAACTAATGCTCAGCCTGTAAGAGTAAAACAGTACCTGATGACTCTCGAAGCCAGGGCAGGAATTACCAAACACATAAACCACCTTAGGGAGTTCTGTATTCTGGTTCCATGCCAATCTCCATGGAACACCACTCTCCTACCTGTCAAGAAACCGGGGACTAACAATTTCCGCCCAGTGCAGGATTTGAGAGAAGTTAACAAGAGGGTAGAGGATATCCACCCTACAGTCCCCAACCCATATACCCTGCTGAGCTCACTCTCTCTGGACAGAAGAGTCTATACTGTTTTAGATCTCAAGGACACCTTCTTTAGCCTGACCTTGGCAAAGGAAAGCCAACCCATCTTTGCCTTTGAGTGGCAAGACTCGAACCAGGGGTTTAATGGACAACTCACTTGGACACAACTGCCACAGAGGTTCAAGAACTCCCCCAGGATCTTTGACGAGGCTCTACATCAGGACTTGCAGGAGTATTGGGCCTCGCATCCAGAGTTCATCTCCAGCACCGCTCTCAATCCTGCCACTTTGCTGCCAGAACCAGATCTTGAGGTCCTACATGACTGCCTGGAGGTACTCTGCAGCTTACATGGGACTCGGAAGACCTGACGGATGTTCCATGGCCCCACCCGGACTTAATTCTGTTCACAGATGGAAGTAGCTTCATTAAGGAAGGAACAAGATGTCGCTCCTGCCAGGTTACTAATCCAAGAGGAAAAGTCATGCCCCCAGCTAGAAGGGAGAGGGGCACTGAGCCTGGAGTCCATTGGGAGGTAGACTTCACTGACATAAAACTGGCAGTCCCTACAGGCCTTACAGATTGCACAAGACAATGTTTTCCCCTTGCTGAGGCACATCTACGAAATACCACCGGCCCAACTGCATGGATTCAAGCAAGGAGACCTTGTTTGGGTGAGATGGCACCACAAGGAGCCCCTTGGACCTCAATGGAAGGGGCCACATATCATGATCCTCACCACCCCCACTGCAGTTAAAGTGGCTGGTGTCCAGACCTGGATACATCACTCGCATCTAAAGCCTGCATGAGAGGATTGGTCAGACCAAGTTGACAAGAGATGGAAGGTCACACGGGTAAAAGACAATCCTCTCAAGCTAAAAATCTCTGCCACACCATAACCCTTGTTGCTTTTTAATGTTTTGTTTTGTTTTATATAGAGCCTGCCCTATCTAACTCCCCAATGGACTCCAAAACCTCACCTGGGTAGTTAGTAGCACATCCATTGGAAAGATAGTGAACATCTCCTCCCACCTGGGACCTCCAGGTGCCTGGTTCCCCAAGATTACATTCAACCTCTGGGACCTGCTTGAAGGAGCTTGAGAATCATACACTATGGGTGTGTGGGGATCTCGGGGTGCCAGGTGCTGGGCGTGGCGCCGGTCTCCCACACGTCGCTGGAGTGCAGCGGGTCCCATGGCTTGCGTCTGCTGTTCAGGCCCCTGGCTCTCCGCCGCTGGGGTGCATGGGTTTCGTGCACTGCATTGCCATGAGTCTCTGCTACCAGAGCTGGCGGCTCTAGGACCGCTGTCAGCTGCCCGGTCGGGTTCCGTTTCAATTTCCACCATGCACTCTCTCTCTAAGTTCGAGACCTGGCCACTGGGTCACGAGGGGAGGTGCGAGAAACGGCGAAAGCAGGGTCTTCGTGAGTCGATGACAGAAGGATAGCCCCCCCCCCCCGGGAGACTGGATCACAGGATTTAGTGTTACAGCTTCAGACAAGTGACTCAGCTCAGATCTCAGTGATTCAGCTCCAGCTCCAGCTTTATTGGGGTAAAACTAGGACTATTTATAGTGTGGAGACAGTAGAAGAAGCCTTAGCTGATAGGCACTCCTGGAATGCTTCATTTACATAGGGCGGTGGGCTTCTATCCAGGCTATCAGACAATGCCTGATTAAAACCTGGTAGCTCCTGAGCCAGAGGGCATGTATCTTGTGACGGCCATTTCAAAAGTAAGTCAGGGAGGAGAGCAGAAGGCGCCCCGCTGAGAAGGGGAGTCTCCCCATTTGCGCCGAGCCAGCTTGTGGCTATCCGGACATGGGGAGACTGCTACCCTAAACAGCAGGGGTCCCCAACAATACACCCTGTCAGGCACTGTAAATTATGCTTGTCAGTCTCCCCTTGGCCGAAAGAGGATGAAGGAGCACCGCTTCTATGTTTGCCTGGGCGACAATGGTGACTGAAGAAGTACCTGTGGGGGGCCAGGGGACTATTTCTGTGCTTCATGGAGCTATGTGTCTACTGGATATATTAATTGGGCTGCCCCAGTCACTACCGACTTGATCCAGGTAACTGCGGCCCCGGGCCTAACCCTTTGGTGAAACCCCAGATCAAGGCAATTCAAGGGACCCTGTACCTCCTCTAGATGCAACCCTATCTCCTTGAGCTTCACCCCAAAAGGAAAGGAACTTAAAAACCTACAAAAATGGATTGATGGGCAAACTTGGGGCCTCAGATTATACACCATAGGGACTGATCCAGGAACACTTTTTTCAGTCCATCTTTCAGTCCATCTTGGGGACCCAGATAGGGCCAGCTCAGACATTGTTACAGCCTATAGGACGACCAACACCAGCCTTAACTATTTCTAATTCTGTCAAGAGGCCAGCTCCTAGCCAAATTGTCCAACTGGATAAAACTACTACTTTGCTCACACCTAGATCCACACCCTTATGGTGCGCGCGTGCTCTCTGGGTGCACTCCCAGAATGGCATGGCTGGTCCGCAGGCTCCCCCCACCGTGCGTCTGGAGGAAGGCAGGTCTAGCCCCGCGGGCTTCTCTGTGTCTCTATGGGCCTCAGGCGTGGGGTGTGTGGGTATCTCGGGGTCACTCTGGGCCCCTGGATCTCAGGGTCCCTGCCACACCTGGTGAGTCACGGTACAGCTCTGGCCACAGGCATCTCTGGGAGCGGCAGCAGATAGGTCGCTGTCCGCCGCTCCAGTGCTGACAGCTTCTCTGCTACTGGAGCATTGTCCAGCTGAATCCTGTCCCTATTTCACCCGTGTACTTTTCCTCAGGATGTGAGGTCCACTGGCCACTGAACCCCACGGGAAGAGTACAAGGACAGCGAAAGCTAGGATGTCCGCAAGTCGGTCAACGAGGGAGTGCACCCCCCGGAGAGGCTAGGTCGCCGGTAGTAAGGCACAGGACT